TTCAGATGCAGTAGTCCTAATCCCGGGCAATGTCTATGGATCCACTTTATTGGACATCGGATGAACGCCATGACAAATTCTGCTGGCATTCAAGGGTCTACGCCTCTGCTGACCATAGAAGAGAAAGGGCTGGGGTTCAATTTGCGTTTTTCGAACGCATCCCACCGCTGCCACCAATGTAGAATACCCGATCCCAAATAGGAAAAAGGCCGGTACAACAGAACAGGCTTTATTGACCAATCAGAAGCCAGAGCCACGCGTCAGGCGCCTTCCATCCGAGTCCACCGCGCTGGCCACGCCGCCCATTATATACTGCTCCTCAGTCGTGTCCTTCTCTGGTTGACTGCCTTCCATTCCCGCATGCCATTGGATCGCAGAGAGACACGGGATTGGCTGAGACCAGGTGGTCCAACATGTCTGCGCCCTAATCCGACGCCACACCACACGACACCACACCACACGACACCACACCACACCTCAACACACCAATTCTACTGCGACGCCAATAATTAACTGAGAAGTATGGTATGGTTTGTATTTGGCGTTCTATTTTTTTTTCATCGAATTTTGTTTGCGTACTTTCTCGTGTTTCTTATGTTGTGTTAGGTTTTACGTATAAAATCGCGGTCTTGCTACATGTCTTTTCTAGAAATAAGATTGTTTGATGCATTTAGTTTCTTCGGCGGAGATTAAGGCCTGATTTGGTTATCTTACGCCTCATTGTAACGATTTTATTGTCCTCAATAGCTCTAGATCACTATGTAGTTTCTTAAAGGCAACTAAGTTCGTTCGGTATAAAATGTCCGGTATCTATTGGTACCTGTACCTTATTCAGATTTTGGTTGTTTCGTCTACTCGTTTAGCTAAATCCCATATTGTGATACTTATAGTTCTTAATATTCCCCTTTAGATAATGCTCTCTACTTATTTGTTGTCTGTTTGCCTTAATATCTCTGTTGATTATGAACTTAATCTATCAGGTTACGCGTGCTTTCATTTTTCGCCCACCGCGTCCTATTTCGCTAGATTTACACGGCACTCAGTTTAATGTAGTTTTATCCACATTAAATCTTGGTATGCTTGAATAACCTTTAACATTAAATAACTTCCGGGCGTTAATTTTCATACCCTCGTAGTAAATTTAATTTGTTTTTGTTAATTCAAACGACTCGAAAATAACTCTTTCCAAAGTCTTTAGCTCATGCATCTGCGTATTCCATATTTCCTCCAGCAGAAAAACTTCTGCATCCGTGGTCGTCCACTTATCTTTTTTCTGAAATCGCGTTTGCAATCAAATTTTTTGTCTAAATTTTGTTGTCAGACTCTCATTTTTACTCACGCATATCTTTGAATTTAGTAGGCTTATTGAAATTTTTCAGTAGCAAATGATGTAGTTCGTTTTTCTATAGCTTGGCAAAAGGCAGTTTGACCGTCTTCTGACGTTTATTTATTTGATCGTCTACTGTAGGTTTCTAAAATGTTGAACTGAGCCTCAATAGAGTGTTAAAAATGCCTTGTGTTGAACCTATGCTCCACCTCTTTTTCTTCCGGTCGTACTTTGGATGTAGTCTTGTGAAATTAACTGCTCAGTTTTCAAGGGGGCTTTTTCCAACATCTCTGCTGGTAGTTATTACATTTGTGCTGGAAATAATAGATTGATTTAAATTTTTTTAATTGTTCGACCTCCATTTGCGTGTTTGTTGTTTTGACCAGTTTTTTTAAGAACACTTGAAGACTCACTTACTGCTGTTGATTATTGGTCAAGCTTCCCTTTGCACAACTGCTATATTAAAATCCAGTAAATTATCTTCTAGGAGAATGGACGATCTTTGCTTCCGAACTAAGGCGATTGTGCAAAAGGTACCTCAGGACTTATCAGAATTGGAACGCTTGGTTCTTTCATTGCGCTCCAACGAGTCTGACAAGACCATCATTAACCGAAAGGAATACCAGATTGCTCAGAACCTGGACCTTGTGAGTTTTTTATCGAAATCTGCAAAACAGGATTGTCTGGTAAACGGGTGCCATAGCACCTCATGATCTAGCCACTGCTCTGATGAGTACATGAAAGAATTTGTGGCGACCAATCAGACAGAAGTGGTTGCAAACAAGCGTCTTGAAGCCTCTAATAGGCTCCTGGCAATCTGTTAAGATTGCAATTTAAGATTCTCTGACAGGGAAATCTCGCCCTTTGCTAGCTCAACTCTCTTATTTATTGGTCGGAGTGGGCAAGTGCTAGTATATCTGACTGCACAAATCGTATCGTGAAATATGTTCATCTAACTTTTGCAGGCATCAAAATATTGTACACTAAAATGACAGTAGATGGCATATGTCTCAAGAGACGGTGCTACTTGGCCGACTCCTAGTCAGCAACTCACATTTAATCTCTCGAAATTCGCCTGATCTCTTGTTTACAGTTGTTCTTAATTTAGGAGAATATAAAAGCTCAACTTTTCTGATTGTTTAGTAGTTATGCTCAGTTATCTGGTACTTACAAAATATTTTTCTTTAAGGCAATTTCCAACTGCCAGCGACTTCACGTTCTTTCAAAAAACGAACCTTCTTTTAAACGTAAACAGATTGAACTGGTTATAAGTCAGATCCAATCGGAATGTCAACAGCTTCGAAGTAGCTTACAGACACTTCAACGCAAACGGTGAGATAAACTGCTTCCTCGTCTGCCTTTCTGCCGATTTCTTATTGTTTTGTGGTCCAGCTGATGGGGGGATCTCGGGCATTCTTTGACAAGAGCACTTTTGCACTTTTGACCTAGTACAAAATTAAGTAATTTCCGTGTTCTTAATTCTCGCCAAGTTATCACTAGATTACTTGAATGCAGCAATTACAGTATTGCCAATGCTAGATATCTGTAAACTGATTTTTAAGGCATTCGGTTGAGGAATCAGTCATTACGCTGTGTTTAAATTTATTCATTACTTTGAAGAAAACGTGGCTTTTATTGATAACAAGACACAATCTAACCAACATTGTATTCTTGGTTATTACTTCCCACTTCTTTCCAACCGCCAGCAAGGTCTTCGATGCGTCTGCAACAAAATGCGTTCTGATTCAAAAAGCCGTCTAACCATGTCTTTAATTCTCTACCAGTTTTTAAAGCAACTTCATACCAATTGTTGGATGGTGGTCAGAATGGGTGAAAATCCGACGAATTCAACAAGCGAAATTATGGGCGATGTCGTAGGCCTTCCTGTATCGCATTCTTTCAGTCGAATAAATGCACGCAGTACCGAGAACCTAAATATTTTCGATTATGAACCGCAATGACTTATTCCTCAATCAAATACAATGAATAGAGTTTGGCCCGATCTTTAGTGAAAGGTACGTATTCATCTTGTGGGCTCAAAAAACATTGGATAAGCAAGAAGCACTTATGTTGGTTTGACTAGTGAATAAGGTTTTTGAACCATCTCTTCTTCGTAAACCGATGTCTGTTGTGTCATGTCGTTTAATTTGTCTAATCACCACACTATACCTTTACGTACTCAGTACTTAAGCAATGATCCAGTTTTTGATGTAAGTTAAACCTGATGGGTTTGTGAGTTCTCTTACATAGATTTAAAAATCTGTATTTTTGCCGGCGCATTGTGTGAAGTTTTAGCCACAAATAGGCTATAGTTCCGAATTTGTGTACAAAGAACGGCGCAATAATTGTCTTGGTCACACATCAACAATCTGTAGTAATAACAAAGATTAGCACACATTTTGGCGCAAACAACTTAATGTTTTTTAAGATCTATCTCAAATCATTTTTCAAAAAATATGAGGACTGTCCTGTGGTTCGCACACAACTCAAGGTTTCCTCAGCCGTTTGTCTGCCGAATGTCTTTTTTTACTTGACGTGGAGCTCATCTGATCTTTAGTGCAACGCACGAACAGGAGCTGATGCACCGAGCAAGTCTCCTCTCTACACCCGCGTGTGCAAGCGGCATGGGTAGCGATGGCGTCACAGTTGTGCAAATCGACACTGAAGTGAGCGAGTTCTCGCGACTGCAGTTGGTGAGCCGACGTCTCGATGAAATGCTCCTTGGTGGCACTGCTAGTCTCGAAGCCCTCAAGCTTCAAGGGTATGCCAATTTATTGGATTTTGAGTCGCGGTTTTGAAGTTACTGAAACACTCCTGTTTTTTGAAAGTAAAGATGTTGTGAGTGGTACCAGTCGTGCCTCATAACGTAGTTATTTTCTTCGACGTGCACCAATCATCTGTGTTGGTACTGATACATTTCTGGACAAGCACCTTCTTAGGGGTAATATCTTATTACCATTTTAGAAGTACCCTAAAGGAGTCCCAGAGACGGCTCCTTGACTTAGTAAATACCTTAGGGTTATCCAATGTGGTGATGCGGCTCATACAGCGTCGGTGTTATCGAGACAAAGTGCTTTTTTACGTTCTTGCCGTGGGAACTCTGATCTCCATGTTCCTCGTGTGGCGCTTTCTACGTACTTGACGACGATCCATCTGGTGATCTCCCTCGTCTTTCAAATAAAAGCTTATGATTTCTGCTTCCCGTTCGTGAAACTCCCCGTGCTAACCGTCCTACCACAATCTACTCTTGCACGAGGTAACTAGATTATCGAGGTCCTCTACACAAATTTGACTTGTTTCTGCTTGGGCACGTTTTTCATTACAATCCGTCGGGGAGTAATTTCTGTTCTTTGTTAACTCACTTCACATCACGTAGAGCGTTTTGACTCAAAACGGCAAAAGTCATAGTGCAGGTCTCATCTTTGTTGATGCTAACACTTCCAACACTTTAATTGGCTAAAAGCGATCGAGTTACTTTGCACCACACAAGCACGTTTACAGAGAGTGTATGATTTTTAGAGCCATTCACGGGTGGTGATGTTTAGGTACCTTAAAAACGGTCATATTCAAATGGTTACAGTATATGCAGATTACGAAAGCACCAACTTCTTATCAATTCCACAATTTGTTCTGGGTCCGTCCTACAATGTATAAACCATGCTTACGGTAAGGTACTCGGGGAGAGCATGCAAAACGTTCATCGTTTAATGTCGTTGCAAACGCAAGTTCTCTTCCTTTTTGTGGCCCAGCTAGAATAAATATCGATGTTGTCTTCCAAAATCCCAGATTCTTGTTTTTTTAATGCTAAATTGAATTAGCTATTAAAACGAAGTTAATTAAGATTCAAGGGAACCAATTATACTGTCCCACATCGGGTCGCCTGGTCTTTTCTCGTTTTGGGTCTCTAAGCTTTGTAACTCACTGACAGTCTAAAAATTTCAAATAATTTACACATTATTGTTGACATAAGGCTCGTTGCTTGCTTAATCCTTTCGATAAAATTGAGTTTTAATCGAGATAGTAAATCGCAGTCTCAGGTTTTCTAACTCCCATTTTGAAACCATGGGCTAAGCGATATATAGTGCTTTTCATTTTTAGCCTAATACCTGACAAAAATAGACGCCGGACTTTTCTAATTTCGACTTAATTTGCTTAGAGGATTAACTGGAAACAGGGTTTATTTTCGAAATATTTGTATTTACGCCGTAGTTTTATCAGTGCAATATTTGTAGGACAAGAATCTAATGCACGCGATTTGTTACCAGTGTATTAAAAGACGATTTAAACCGGCCTAGTGTCCACCACTTCTGCTCACTGCTGTTGTCAGTTCGAACGAAGCGTTTATTGATTTTCGCTGCTTGCTCGGGGCTGGATGTACTTTGTTGTGCGGGCTGGCTATGTTGTGAGCTGTCTTTTTCAGGAATTAGCTAGTGCATACTTTCTTTCGCTGACGATACGATACCTCGATAGTGAAGATCCGTTTGCGTCACTGTACTTGCGGAACATACCCACAACTTTTCCACATCCCTTGAAAGGTGTCCACGTGGCCATCGTGGGCACTTTCATCAACGTATGTATTCATTTTTCCAATATTAGTATACTATTTGGACAGAAGTCAGTTAGACAGAATGACCTAAGCAAAGTCGCAGTCATTCGATTATGCACCGCCAGCACCTATCAGTTCTGGAGCAGCCTGACTTCCTGTTTAATCTGTTTAGCTTCAATGGTGATATGGTTGGATGTTTTCAAAAAGACACTTCGCTCAGTCATTTCATGTACTTTCGGCAGCCACTGCGCATCAACGCAAAATATTCTAGTACCCTGGCAAGCATTCCTCTCGTTACATACCGAATGGGGCATCTGTCTAAAAACTACTGGGTTCCAAAACGCATCTATCAAGAACAAGCTTGTCATGATCGAAAGGGTCTATGCTTTGCAGGCTGACAAGATAACCAAGTGCGTGGAAGGGAAGTACAAAGCTCATTTCCTTAGTGCCCTATCAAATTACATTTTTAACTGCTGTTTGTGTATCTTATCAAACTTAATGCAGCTGATATACTTCGCCTTAATTTATGCGTCAAAAAACGCGAAAATTCGACCAGGTACAGCGTTGATCGCACATAATCTCGCCGATTTAACCAAAGATAACGATGGGAACTTGGAGAACTTTGGCGACAATACTCCTGAAATCTCAAAGGTACCAACCCTAAGGGAACAGTGGCGTGAATACGAACCTTCGGGCAATTTTAAAAACCCCGAGAAAAAGATGCAGCTTCCATGGTCCTCAAAAAGACACAGTGAAGCCGGACAACTTAGTAGGGACCTTCCGGTGATGAGCAAGCAGACGTCCTCTTCGTGTGAAAGTACATTTTTCAGACAAGTACACGGAAGCCGTTTATTTGATAAACACAAATAACCTACGGATTAAAGTGTCAAGTTTCGGGTCAAGATTTAAGTACATATGAATGCTAGAGCAAATTAAAACATTATCCAGAGTTCTACGACGCCTTTACATAAAGAACCGTCCAAAGACAACTAGATGCAGTTATCCCACCCATAGCTTCTAACATGTACTCGTTTCAATAGGTGACTGATTGGTGCTATTTCTGATAAATTAGCTGGTGACATTTCCAAGAACTTAACCAAACCATTAGCAGGATACTGTTACGGACATTTTGCACTACCCAGCATTTTATGGGGCATACCAGAACAATTACAAATTGGTCACAAAACTCAGATTCATCTATGTACAACGAAAAGTTGACAACTAACAGCGACAACAGCTCTTTATGTGATATCAGCCAGGGCATTGAAATTGAAATGCCTAGGTTTGAAGGTCCTTGAATTTATCCTCTTATTTGTCACAGATGGGTATTCGAGTGCCCCATTTGAGCTCGACGCTGCGTCGTTTTCAAGGGGTCGTTTTCTTGTTCGTTTCGATTGTACAAAATCCCGCAAAAGACTGAGATGACTTGTAATGGGAAAAGTAGCAGCCGCCTCCGAGAAAGGGCATGTAAATGAAGGCATCGGGCAGGGGTCCAACTCAGAGGGGATTTCAGGCACCAAGCTTGAGGTCCAGTTCATCTTGTAAGCAAAGGAAACAGCCAGGAAATGTGACCTTAGTCCTGAAGTCAACCTGTCAAGAGGCTTAAATGGGCAATTTATTAGTTGCCCAAGAGGTAGAAAAGTACAGGAATGTCTGTACTTTGGGGTTCCGATAATTTCTATTTGCCGGTAGGTGAGGACAAAAACAATAGATTCAAAGATGATGTAAAATAGCGTGTGCTCCGCAAACATTTTCTTAAATTGGGAGGAGAGACGGTTTCTACGGAAGTATGTGTACTCAACACACCAGGCAGCCATGTCGTGAAGTTGCTCAACAATAATTTCATTTGAAACGTGGTTAGACCGTGCTAAGTAGTCTGCCAGGTAATTCAGACACCGAACACGCACCTCATTAGGTTGTCGTGTATCCTTTACAAATTTCCATAAACTTTCTAAAAAATTGACCACTAAGCCCGGTCGAAGACTACACATATATATTAAAAGCAATGGGTAGGCCGCAAAAGCTGATTGCACAGGAAGAACACGGTGAAAGAAGCGTGTGCGCATATCCCTGAAAACAGCGCACATAAAGGCCCATCTGCGTTTTTTCGCGGATTGATCAACTAATTCACTGTTTCCACCTGGGAAAATGAGTGAAAGACTCATAACCGAAAGCCAAAAGAGAGGAGTCGCTGGGGGAGATTTGTCTGACAGAGTTTCAAAAATCAGCTGTTTGTTTTTAGTAAAGTGGTCGACATCAAATGGCAAGCTCAGTTTAGAGAGGGGACATTCTGCGGAAGAAGTGATCGTCGGTTCGATATTGACTTCAATATCAATTAGGAGTGTGAAACAAAAACACAGAAGCTGCTGTATTGAAGAAGGCGAAAGGAGCTGTGGGGTTTCATAGCACAATCTTAGAGCATTTGCCAAAGCTGTGAAAAGCTGGGGTGTGGGGCGGCCCCAACTAGGAAGTGTTCGTTCTAAACATCCAATGAATTGGCTTTCGAAGTGAGGTAAGGAGTTAAGAAACTCACGCAACGCCTTGAATACGATTTCGGAGGTATCTGCATCGGCGCTGGAAGATGAGTAAAGGGAAGAAGAAAAAAGGGTAGCGCAAAAGTTGGACAAAAGTTGCTGGGCAAGCTGTTCGTACTGAGTAGCAATATTTACTAGTAGCAGAAGGCAATTTTCAGCAATGTCAGATACAAATGAATGCCAGGGCTTGGATATCAGAAAAAGGTCGAACAAACTGTACGCAAGGTTCTCTGGAAATTGGCCATTGAAATTGGAACAACCCACAAAAAACTCTTTGGCAGAGGCATTATAATCCGTAGACATTGTTATTTTGTTTAAAATGAAGTCCATTTTCCTCGTTTCACCACGTCCGTACTCGGTTATCGCTGCAGACAGGTCAACTGAATCGCCAAACATTGCTCCACCTGGTAACCACAAGACGCGAGGCCGCAACGTAGTGGTGTGGTGTGGCTGTGA